GGTATAATCACCGATTCACACAATGCAGTTGGAACCTCTTCCCTTTCCCACAAGGAAACCAGGAGTTTTGTTAACTCCAATCCAAGGCTGGACCTCCATTCTTCGTTTAAGGGATTTGTGCGCTTTGTCGTAGTTTGAATCCGAAGGAATGGCTTTGCGAGCGTCCAGGAGGGCAACCGAAGTCGGGGAGATCCATCGTTTTTTATTTGATTTTGAGCTAGAATTTACTGTTGTTTCGATTGACATTTGGATCGCTTCCTTGGTTGCCGTTCAGTGCTCACTGAGTCCTCCGGCTAATGGTTGCACTGAGACGCGACCTGATAGTTCCGCTTCGAAGGCTGATTTGCAACTGTCGGTGATAGTGTTTTGTGGGCCTCTCTTTTAGGCGGCTTTTCTGCGTTTGTTTATCAGGCGTAGGAAGAATCTCGCTCGTAGCAGACCGCGGTCTGTGTCCACGGTTGTTGACCAGTATGAGCGACAGTCTTCAGTGGATCCTCGCCAGCGTTGGCTAATGGCAATGTGGTCGATCTGAGTCCAGCGCTTTGAAGCGGTTGGCGGTCTCCATGTAAGACGATGGCGTTTTTTGTGCGAGAAGTTCGTGCTTGACAGAAACAGTCCGTGGTTCGTTGGGGTAAACTTTCTCCTTTGTCAGTCCTGTTGGCTAGGATTGCATGTGAACCACCAAGTAGCCTCTCTGATTCGTCCAGGGATCCCACTTGAGCACTAAAGTCTCCAGCGAACACCACGATTTCCGTTGACCGAGCACTTTGGAGCAGTTGACATAGGTCCTTGTATAATTCATCCTTCACTTCTGGCGAACTGCAGTCAGTCGGTGCATACGCGGATACGACGAATAAGCATCGACGCTTCGTTCTGTAACTGTTGACGCGTAATGAACCATCTAGACGTACGGCGCAAAGTCGACTGTTAACCGGGATCCAATCGAGAAATGAACTCTCGGTCTTGACAGCGAAAGGCCCACACCAGCAACACCGCGAGCTTCGGATGTCNGCTTGATCTGGAGACACAGGACACATCTAAATGGAACGTTTCAAGGGTTCCATCTAGGGCAGCTCGTTGAATAATCTGATAGAGTGTGCGGACATTAAATGCAGCTAAATGGAAAGGAGATTTTGGTTTCAAAAATCTGATAGCCTCTGCGTGGTTGGCCTCATTAGTTGAATACTGGCTGGTATGCGATGGGCGACGCAAACAGGATGCATCTCTTAAATTTTGGGAGTGAGAAGAGGAAACGAACAGTTGAGAAAGACGGTTCTCCAAATGGGTACCTAAGACTTTTGGGCACCGCACACTTCGCGGTATCCCACACCGACGAAGAGGTTTTTCTTTGAGAACCCCAAC